AAAAAAAAAAAAACTTGCTGAACGGGAACTGTGCAGGAAGCTGTGAGTTGAAAAGAAGACAGGAGAAAATATGCATCGACCTAATATGTAGAATACTCTGTATACGAAACCTTAGTGGTTTAGGGTGGTGACATAAAAAAGTTAAAAATTAAAAGGAACTTCTGGGTAAGCAATCTCCTCTTATATTTTTTTTGGATTTTCCGAGCTTTTATCTCATCATTCTAAACGGAAAGTTTGAGTATTCGTGCAGAAGATGAATGTAAATCAATTTTGTGGATTTAGAAACTGTTTAATGCTTAACAAGAAACGTGATCGTGATGGAAGTGAAAGTGATAGATGGATAAACTTACATGTCATAGCGTGTACCGAGCGCAAAGTTTACGTTCGTTATAGATTTAGATTTTTTAAGATTACACTTAGAAGGAGATGAGCTCTGAAACAGCAGAAATACTTTGTTACGACGAATATTTCGGGATTGAAGAACCCACAAAAAAAGTGCTTTGACAGTAAAACAAGAACTTTATTGGTCTTGAGAAAAAAAATGCCCTAGATATCTTAGAAAAATCACTGAGAAGGCAGATTTTGTAAGTGTAAATTGTGAAATTTCATTTGTTAAATATTATATCAAGAAAGATATTGCTTTGATCCTCCAAATTTGACCAAACCTTAAAATCTGGATTCAAATTTCATAACTTAATCACTATATGGTCTTCTCTGCTGAACGACATAAAAAACATACAATGCTTTTTGAAATTTGTTTCTGAGTAATTTATCTTGAGTCGTTGTTGCTTTAATGTATTTCGTATAAGCTTAACAGGGTCGCATGAGTATAGCTGGATAAGGAGAGCGAAGTAAGCTGTCAGGTAAATCTAATTTGAGAAAAAATCTTTTTCTAAGCAACATTATTGACCATCAAGCCTGATCTCACGAAGATGAAATCTAGATCATTTATTATATTCTAGCATTATTAAAAAAATACGCTTCCCTGAACAGATCCCTTCTTTCTGACACCAAATTAACAGCAAAATTTAAAGGACAGTTTGAAACGCGAGTTCTACGATGCAGTTTTGTAGTAATGCACTAACCTTTATGAGGATAGCGGCCTTTCTGCAGAAGAATGGTGAGCACGATGGCTTAAAATGGCAGTAATAAAAGGCAAAAGATATTGCAAAGAAGATGTTATCTTTATTTGCGCTTGTAGATCCAAAATAATGTCTAAAATACTTTTGATTTCTTCATGGTCAAATCAAATCAATTTCAAGATTAGCACTGCTGGCCACTATTCTTTCATATGAATATAACTAAAAAGTGATTGCTTGTCGTTTAATGAAGTGCTGATGTAAAAATGTTGCTTTATTTTTATTATTTGGGCATTTAGAATTTGACTGACATCTCGCAGTATTATTTTACAAAAGGAAAAAAGCCAACTTCAGTGGTGTTGATGCATTAAAAAAAAGACAATGATTAGTTTTATTTATTGAAGAGCTTCGTGGGGAGGCATCCTAACATTGTGAACAGCGGATTTTTTGTGATATGACGATTACTGGTTTTGGTACCTACATCTAGAAAACATTATCTTGGAATGGCCGAAAAGAGGAAGAAGTTTTGAAGAAAAATCAAAATGTGCAAAACTGGCTTTTAACAATTTCTGCTTGAGCATGAAGCTTTATACATCACAAAAATTTTTAAAGTTCTATTTTGCCCAAGTGAGAAAAGAACATAATCTTCTTCATTTATAAATATTCCTTACTTTAACTAGTACACTAAATATTTTGTACAGATTTAACAGTTCCTTGTTTCTATTTTTACAGCCAGTTAGAAGATCAACAAATTTAAGTCCATGCAAACAGTAAGACAATAATTGATAAAATTCAAATTTCAAATTAGAGGCAGAATTTTATGATGACAACCGAAGAATTTTTGGAAAGGGAAAAGAATAGACAAGAAAATAAAACAGTGCTCAAATGTGTTGTAATATTAATTACGAAAATTTGAGAACTAGTTAAATGAGTGTGTCAAATTTGATTTGGCTGTTAATAAAACTTAATATTTGCACAGCCACTACGAAATGTTGGGTACACCCGCTCAGTTAGCTGTCTATTTTTTTTTACGCGTGTGTGAGTGTATGTGTGCTTTATTTTTGAGTATTATTTGTGGATAATATATCTGTATTGCTCAATAACTGTAACAGATCAGCAATAAAGATTTATTATTGGTACTAACTAAGTTTAAAACAAGTTTTATGTGACACTATCATTAGTTCATTTCAGTTAACCGCTTAGTCAGCAAAATTAAGATTAAATATCCATTAGTTTTTAAGCAAAAGTTTTTCTCCATCATTTTGGTTTGTTCTTTACATAATTTGTTGGCACAAGAAAGAGCAAAGATAGTTTTTTTCAGCTTCCCATTCGTTTTTTCATTTTTTGTTCAACAGTTCTCAACAAATTGTTGGTTATGCAACGAATATTTTGGTTTTAATTAATTTTGCAATCAAAAGACATTGCATTCATTATACACTGCTTAATTCTGTTTTCAAGAAACTATTTAATTTTCTTTAGATGGTTTTGTCAGAAAAAAAAAAAAGATTTTTGGCTTGTTGTTGTCTTTTTCCTGTTGATAGTAGTGATCCTATTGTTGCTATAGCATTTTTTATGAAGTTTTGTTGTTTTCAATGATGAACTTATTAAAGCATAAGAGCAGACAAAAAACAACAGAAAAATTTAAAAATTGTTACCTATGAATCACTGTCAAAGTTATACTTTTATCGCATAAATAACTGTTCTTTCAAAATTGTCTGCAATAACAAAAGAATTAATTGTTGCCTATTTTTCTATAATTGTCATTAATTTAAAGCATTTAATTACTACCATAATTAATAATCTGTAATTTTCAAAAGCTGTATGTTGTTTTCTTTCTGCTCTTTCGAAACACCGTATCTCTGTGTGCCAATATTCTCCATTTACATATTTTCATTTTAGGATACATGCAGACAATTAGATTTTGCATTTCTACACTTCTGCTTTGTTCAGTGGTTTTCGCAGGGTTAACAGAAATTTTTCAGAAGCGAGAAAGTGGCTATATACACATCAAGGTAATTTTATTAAAAAGAAAAATTTACTTTCCTGAACTAAATTTTTAGTGGTTGGACAGGGATTTTTGCGATGCTTTGGTATTTAATATACATTATATTCAAGATAATGTTTAACGTTGTATTTTTCACATTTTTACATCTTTTAATCTCCAGAAGAAAATTAAAAAAATAAACTTCTCTTTTTCGCCGTTTTACTAATGTATTTTTTAGATCCAACTAAATAAATAGTTTTTATTTGCCTTTTCTTTCTTTCAATTTCTGTTTGTTGCCTTTGAAGCTAATGTTGAAATAGTCGGAAATTTAGTAAAAACTGAATAATAAATTAATTGCTTACGAAGACAAAAAACTTATTGAAAAATTACGGCCTTCTATACTTGCATAAAGTTTATTTGGTTACTTATAAAATTGGTCTTGGACATTATTTAGGAGAAGTTGAAAATTATTGATCTACTTTCTATCATTATCTGTAGATACTTTATGTATCCTCCTGTAGTAAAACATATTAGCAAAACAACTGTGCGAGAATCTTTTTAGATCAAGGAATTAATAGTGGCACTTTTCACTATTCAAAAAATTATTTCTTTTCCTTAACAACTCATCAGATCAAAATGTTGCAGTTAAATTCTGCAAATTTGCTTCCTACAACGAGCATTAAACCGTTTATACAGTTCAGCGATGGTATCGGTACTTCAGAATCTTCAAATATACAGACAAACATTAATAATTTACCAAAGTATGAAGCTGGTTCCCCAGGTTATCTACAAAACCTTTTGCCTAAACCAAGCCTTACCGGAAGTCCATCGTCGTTTTTCCAACGAGGAGATAATTTCGGCTTTTTCTTTGGTCATCAAGGCCAAACCTTCAACCCTATACCATCGTTTGAAAAAATTTTCAGCGACAGTGACAGCCACACAAATGAGAGGCCAGAAAACCAAGAACCGGAAGCTATGGTAAATCAGCAAATGAAAACAATGGGTAAGCTTTCAGAGCAGAATTTCTACGACACATTATACTACTAGGTGGCAAAAACCAACCAATCATTATTCAGAATTATCCCATATTTAACTTGTATGGGCTCCCAAAGCCTTTGAAACACATAAGAGGCTGTCATTTAATTACGACAGATTTAGAGAAAGCCGACCAACTAGGACAAGAAATGCAAATGATGTTGACCGCACCCGCTTCCAGGCTAACAGCTCTGAACGGTCAGTTAGATCATAGCAGTCGCCCTGGCAGCAGCGTTCCGCAAGGTTACAAAAGTAGTGATCCGAAGAACGGCATAAACCACAGACTAAGCGAACTACAATCGCTTCAAAACTATGCATCGATGCTTGACAATACACGTGTCTCACAGATGGGTCAGTTGCTCAGGATGCTTAATTTTTCGACTGTATGGCAAATTAGTTTTTCCGTACACGGCACTGAGAAAAAATTACGTCTTCTTTGTGGAGTTTTTCGTGCCATATTTGCTGATATTTCAGGAAACACCCAACAATCAACGTATGCGGAGGCATATATACCCGCTTTATTCACTACTGATGACAGATCTAACATTTCATCGCCGCATGATCAAATAGTTACCACAGAAAATCCAAGAAGTTCAGGACACAGAAGTGATTCACCTTTGACGCTTTTCAACCTTATCTATATTCTTACAAAATTTCTAACTGTAAAATTTATTACAAACACTATTTTGCGTTAATGTTCTCTTTGCAAAACGTCAAGTGACTTTCCGCATGTTTATTTTTAAAAAATCAAGATTCAACTTATTGGACATAGGTTTTCATTATTGAATTGTAAATAATATTACTGTCCAGTGAAGTTTTAAAAGAGGCACTCATACTGCTCATTAATTTATTTGCTAAAACAATGACTCTGGCAACTTCAGTGCAGTAACTTAACTAGCAACACTATTTGTATGTGTTGAAATTATTATCAACTTTTTTCTCCAAAAACGTAAGTTCTTCTTCACCTTTGCCTTTTCCGCCAACCAGCTATATCAGTTTGTAAAATTGGAAATGACTTTTTTATGCAGCCGTTCATAGCGACTATAAACAGGTATTGCTGCTTGATGAGGTGAGAGGTGCGCGGAGCTGCAAGGTGCAAACAAAGTTCTCAGTCTATTATTTGTTGCTCTTATTTATCCTATTCCAACTCATACCCTGTCACCTCTTTTTTGTGGTATCATATTAGATTCTGATTTCATTAATTTCTTTAAACGACCAAAATTCTGTATATTACTAATGTCATTCTTCCCTTTTACCTACGAGCTTCTTGTTAGTATTCCAACACAAAAGTCTCTCAGTCTTTGATCGTAATTGTTACTCGTAAAGAGTGTCGATTAATTTGACACCAACCTAAAATGAATAAATCACTTATATAACGATGCAGCACCTACAAACTACTTTCTTTTATTTGGCCTAAATAGTGTTACAGTGGTCAAACGAAATAACTAACTATCAAAAAACTAAACAAATCATTAATTTTATTTTTTCAAATCTAAATTACCAGTCAACTGGGAAAAGTAGAGAACATTAAACTTATAACTGCATTATCCGAGCCAAAAAAAAAAAAAACAAGTGTGGATTATTAGTCACGACCAAACGAAGCAGGAGAAAGGTTTATTTAGAATAAACATTATAAAATCACCACTGAAAAAGATACAACGCAGTTGAGTGTCAAGGAGAAGGCAATCCTGCTGATGTTGGATTCTGAGGTTGCGCTTCTCAAAAGTTGCAAAAAGTGAATTGTGATACAGGCTTCAACGGGTAGAAAGAAATCTTAACCAGTAAGTCAGTAATATAGCAGTTAGACTACACTTGTGCGGAGCAATACGAATTTCTCCACAGAAAATCCAAGTAGTTGCATACCGATAAATCTAACGGTTACTGCCAATCGGAATAAATCCGGCGGACGTTTCTGGGAAAGCAGATGGCCCCTATACTTTTTTTATTTTTTTTTCTCGGGGGAGTAGAGAGAGAGGAGAGCTTTTCTAATTATTCATTTAAGATTCTATTTTAACACTCATGTACAATATCCCTTCTCTCCAAGTCGCGAAAATTGCTTCTGTTTGGTTCTAAATAAGTTTCTCAGACAGTATTTTCCTTCTAAACAGTACTGTTCAGCTAGACAAAACACAGTCCACCTGCCTGTCTTTGTAGTTTCAAGATTAATCCCATTCTAATTAAGAAATCAGTTCCGGCCAGGTAAAAGGGCTAAGAGAACATAAGTTTAACATTTTTTAAAAACTGAGTCTTGAAGCGAAAACTTGTGGAACAATAATTGGATTGCTGTTTTTTGGCCTGTTGCAGCTAATTTGTTTTCAGTTTGATCTGACAGTGCTGAAAATGTTCCGGTTCTCGGAATTTTTCACCATTTTCATCTGCAGCATCCGACCGTCGTTGTTAATAGAAACACAAGTTATATTTTTATCTGATTCCTTTGCTTTTGCAGTCATTGGTGGTATGTGTTGTAATCCAAAGAGATTGAATAACAACTCACCCTCATTAACCCTTGAAGGTGTGCTGTGGTAGTCAGAAAATTTTCGCTTGACACTTTCTCGGTCAAGCAGTCTGGGAGCTGCTGTTGCATTTACAAACGCAGTTGATTGTTTTGCTCCTCTTCCCTGTCAAGATTAAAAATTTGGAGCTAAGGTTGGAAAACTAGCAGTCTCTTTCAAAAAGTACTAGCTGTACAGTGGCAGTGTGTGGTGCTTTGTAAGAAGCAATTTCCATAGTTTAAAGCGCAATTAGCTGTTAACCTTGCAGGCGAGTTTTTTATACGCGACAGTTAAATAAACATTTCTTGTGCTTAATCCTCATTTTTTGAGACTGGAAGAAAACCTATTATAAGTTTCACGTACAGTAGTTTACTGGTAGTCTGTTTATGCTCTTCGAAAATTTGGTAAATCATCACACATACCCAATTCTGGTCCAGAAGATTTAAATTTAGCTCCTGAAGATGTGCCGTAGGCAGCCACGTTTTATATTTGTTAACGCTTTTGGTGATTATTCTTCTTTCGTTCGCCTGATTTTTTTTTATGTAGTTATCTTTCATTGAACAATGCTCTGCTTACGCTAATAACTTGTCCGTCGTTTTATGTCCTATTTTACTCTATTTAGTTTTTTTTTGCCCAGTGCTTTATTTTACTTTCATTCACTTAAATAACCTTAGAATTAAGTAGATAAGTTGAGTGACACGCATTTCCATTTGATCGTTTCCTCTTTCATTATCGTTTCTTTGTTTTTGCCCACCGCAAGAGAGCTTACTTCAGTTAAACTCAGTAATGGTTAATTCTTTTACAGGTACCGTATTTCACACGATCCTTCATGTTCCGCCGACTGTTTGTGTCTTTTTTTAATTATACTCAGGTTTTATTTTCATTTTATTGCTAAATTTTTATATCTTTACTTATTTTTCAAAACTAATATTCTTTCAGCAATCTGGCACAATATTTTCTCGGAGAGTTTTCAGTAATAATAGTCGTCGCCTCTTAACTGGTTTGGCCGGAATTCAGCTGGGCGCTGCTGTTGCAGTTATCTCAGACAAGGAACTTAATAAGAAGCCTAGCTGGTACCCCTTTTTACTATTTTTAACTCAGGCAATAACGCTGAAGGAACTTTATTTAATGCCGGCAGAATCCTTAGAAACTAGTCCAATGCTGCATTTTGCATCTAACTTACAATTCTTCAAAAAGTTTGCCGTTTTGTATTGAGAAAGAACTGCGGAACTTCCTTTTTTTTTTCTTTTTTTAGGGAGGAGTTTGAGTGCTACAGGATTTCTCTTTCTTTCTGAGGCTCTTCAGAGTTACATACTTTAAGGTATAAAGATGCTGTCCACGAACTTGAATTGGCCATAAAGCGAACCAGTAATTACAATATTATTGAAAACGAGTCTGTTGTTGATCAAGCCAAAAATGCCTTAGAGAAGTAAGAAATGATTTCTGTTCTTTGCCAGTCTTTGCTGTTTTATGATAAAGTAATATGAATATTTAGCGGAAATTTTTTTAGCGGTATTTGCTTTGTAATTTTAACGGTTACCTTTATTGGCTTTTCTTTTAGATTTGCGAACTTGAACAATCCTGAACTGTTGTGGCGCTTAACTCGTGTTTTGGTTGAGAAGGCAGAACTGGCGGCCAACGAACGCGACAGAGAAGCATATTTAAGAGAGGTAGGTAAAATACAAAAAAGCGGTTCAAACATGTTAGCGTAATATTG